TTGATGCGATTAAAAAAAAATATGTTTTTACATTTTTTTTTACCAAATGGCCAATCTTTAATGTTTAAACTTCATGCGCCCATCACATTAACTAACCTCATTGAAAAAAATCAAATTTTTTTTATGCTCCTCGTAAAATTGGTTTAAAAATTTGTCTTAAAATCACTTGTTTATCAACAAATGTATATACTGTGTAATGTGAATTTAAAATAAACTTTATTTGAACTTTGATGCATTGTTTGAAAAAAATAATGTGTTTTCACATTTTTTTTACCAAATGGCTACTTTGATTCTTTTAAAATTTGCTTACGCACTAATGTCCTTTATTGCACTCAATCTTTAATGTTTAAACTTCATGCGCCCTTCACATTAACTTCCTCTCATTGAAAAGATCACATTTTTTTATGCTCCATGTAAACTTGGTTTAAAAATTTGTCGTAAAATCACCTGTTTATCAACAAATATATTACTGTGTAATGTGAATTTGAAATGTATTTCTGAGCCGTATTTAACCTTTGAGTATCTCCATCAGCGACATTAACCATGATTCACCTCTGTCGCTAAGCAACCAGAATGCAAACAGCTGCATTTTGCTAGTGTTTGTTTTCTATGTTGTTTTCTTTATTATTTTTTTTTTAAAACTATTTGTAAGACTAATACATAAGTATCTCACTACCGCTTTCTTACCTTTAAGTAAAGGAAATAAGGAATTTTGGTACTTGCACTGAATAGTATTGTATTTACATGCTGGAAATAATGAGAGATAAATGTGTGACAAAATAGATTTGCAACAACTTAGCCCTGGGCCTTTCCAGACTATCATTTCCTGTGACGAAAACATGTGGTCATGGTGACATCACATCATGACCATATATAGGCACATCATGACTTTATATGGGCATACAACAGTTATGATGACATCACATCATGACCATATATAGGCACATCATGACTTTATATGGGCATACAACAGTTATGATATCACATCATGTCCATATATACTGTAGGCACATCATGACTTTATATGGGCATACAACAGTGATGATGACATCACATCATGACCATATATAGGCACATCATGACTTTATATGGGCATACAACAGTTATGATGACATCACATCATGACCATATATAGGCACATCATGACTTTATATGGGCATACAACAGTTTTTTTTTTTAAATTTTGGTAGTGTGGACAGAGCTAGCTTAATTAATCTGTGTGTAAACACTTGCTTGTGCGACTGACTGTCTCTAGCTACAAGTAAATTTTAACATTGCATTTCATATAACACACAACGTCAAACGTGATATTGCCGTTACTGTCGCAAATATTTCTTTTGTTAAGCAGCTGACAAAAGGCATTTTTTGAAGAGCTGTCGTCAATCGAGTAGGAAGTCAGTGGTAACCCAATCATCCTCCAGCCTAGGTGTCACGCTGTGTTATAAAGTGGAGTTAATACGTATAATTCAAACGTCCTTAGGCCAGACATATATCACCCATTGTTGGGAACACAAGGCTATTTGTCCCGCAAGTTAAACCAACTCAGCCACAGGGTCCAGTCCAATTTGTCGGCTTTTTATTATTAAATCAAATATGATTACGTTGCCAAGGAGACAAGACTTTGAGACAGATTCACTTAGAGGAACTAAGAGGTGTTTGAAATGAAACAAATAATAGGTATAATATTTTATAATATTTAATCCATCGGTTAAATATTAAAAACTTGCAAGCAATAAAATAAAATTTATAATTGTGAATATCAAAGCCTGTATGTTAGTTGTTGCTACTGTACATATTTCTTTAATTTCTGGTAGTGGAGATGTACTGTAGTTGGGTGGTTGAGATGGTAAGTTGCCTTCTAATCCCAGGGTCGTGGGTTCGAATCCTGTGACAGCAAAGGATTTTATCCCACACTAAAACACATTTCCACTCCCTAAGCCTCGTAATGATACTTCACTGATAAAGCATCATATTATTTCATTACTTAAGAGGGCCCCTGAATATTATCTGACCTTCTAGTACAGTATATGCTAGAGGGGTCACCTACTATAAATTTAAAAAAAACACCAGAAAACACACAATCAAACAACATGTTTTATTTAAATGAAAGAAAATGAGCTATTCTTAACCTTTTTAAAAATACAGGAGTGCTGTTATTATAAAAATAAGATATTTGAAGTATAGTATATAGTCGGCCTATACTTAACAATGTATTTCACTCATTGAATTTTCACTTGAGACAATTTTAAGCATTGCACGATTTGAACTCAAAACCCTGAGATTAGAATATAAGCTTTTTCACTAATAAGTTTAGCATGTTAGCCTATAAGATACTTACTCTTGTTTCTTGTTTATTCCATGATATCCATTAAAGGACTTTATTTGATTAATATGTGTTTACGTGTAATTACTGACAGATATTAATGAGAATGCTTGTAATCACCTTCATGACACCGATTAAGAAAAGTACTAATTATTTCGAGATTGATGGATCAGACTGTTTGATTAGAATTTGCTTACCTTTGAGAAAATGACAACTACACCCGTTGGTTAGATTTAATAGACTAATGATTGTAAATGTTAAATTAGCATTCAATTTTATCCATCTATCAAAGAGATTGACGCCATCCAACACTAACTGGTGGTATTCGGAGGTTTGAACTCAGAGCTGAGAGATTGAAAAAAAAGCACATTAACCAGTAACTTACTACACATTTATTCTTGTTATTATATAATGTCCATTAAAAAACATTATTTGATTGATATGTGTTTATAAACTGTTTATTGAAAGATTTGGGAAAGTAATTATTTTTAGATATGATGATGGATCAGTTTATTTGATTTAATAGATTGCTAGCCTGCGATAATTTCAACTACCCCGTTGGATTTAACAATTAATTATTGTAATTGTTAAAGTTACATTCAATTTAATCCATCTATCAAAAAAGGGACATCATTAAATGCCAAGCGCTGGTATGCACTTTTATTAATTATCACTTCTAATTGACGGACTTGTGTTATATTAAATATTATTTCTTCTCATCCATCTTCGAGTGACGTTATTAAGTGTCAAACAAGCATTCAATTACCGATTAAGCCTGTCACATTGTCAATATAATACATTTAAAATCTAAAAGCTACGGTAAGCTATATGTCACCATAGCAACTTGACTCAACTCAGTCTAGTTGCTAGACTTTGCACTACGTCAGCTTCCACCCACAGTCACTGAAAGACTGACTTTGAATGAATGGGCTTATTCGACTGGTTTATTTCGTTGAGTACAAATTTACTTTGAGTATTATTTTCATTTGACTGGTTCGTAAAATAGACTTTGTTGACCACAAAAATTAACGTAACCAGAATGCGTTAATCAGCGTTAAGTTACGCACATGACCAAAAGAAATATGGCCGATTGGTCAGTTTAGCAACAACATTTGCGTTAATATAATTTAGATTAAATTTCAGAAAATTAAAATTACAATATTTACCCACATTGAAGTAAAAAAATAATTGTAGCAGAATTCAAAAACTGGATGAAAACATTTTTTTACGAAAAACCCATACTGCCACAATCCGAAGCAGCCTTGATTACGCAGCGTGTATCGCGGTAACTATGCAGCCATTTTGTTTTGTCAAGTATTTACCAGTTTTCTATGCGACTGGTCGTCTTCCTGAAGTAGTATTTTACCACTGTGCAGGTGGGCGTGGTTTAACGAAGAACGACCGCTCGAATACGGCCAATATCTTGCAACCCTTATTCAGGAAACGTGCAGACTCAGAACTTCAAGCGAACAAATATCAGAACTGGTTGCCTGAAGTGTTTCTGTTACTTCCTTTTGTAGTATTAACTATGTTGCAATGCAATGCTACCATAGTGTACACTGTATGTGTACTATAAACAGACTAGTGTTACTAGGTTAACCCTATCACAGGCAAATTTTTATCGCTTGTCGTCAGGTCATTTGAATTGCAAGAGTGTTTGTTGATGTCGCCTCAAAATCGTGCCACTCGCAGAAGTTTAAATGTTGTAAAAAAGAGGAACAGTTTACCGTAATTATAACTGAACCTCAACATATCTTCAGTTATCAGTTAGGAAAGAATTGAACTGTCGGTATTGTGCAGACAGTGACGTATCCACAGGTTGCACCTCCCCCTTTCCCCCCACCAACTTTGTCAAATGAAAGCATGTTCATAATAGCAAGTGTGTTTGTGCAATAATAATTAACATTGTAGACATTTTTTTGATAATCATAGACATCCAAAATATGCTGATACCTTTTGCAAGTCAAAATTTCATTTAAAATCTTCGTCCAAGAACACTCAAACCAGTTCAAAAAATGTTAAAAATGCGCCAGCTTCCAAGGGCCTCTCCCCCTCCTAGACCCGACCAGGAGAACTTTGCGGGCTTTCCTTGCCCCAGACACTAGGGGAGGAAACCCCCTTCCAAACCAACCCAACCCTGGCGTTCCACAACTCACGTAGTTGGCTCTTCCACTGTAAAAATCCTGAATACGCTACTGTACAGATGTACGAGTTTCAATATAGCTGTTTATTATCTGCATGCAATCTTCATTAGTCTGTCTGAAATGACTCGCACAACACGAGCCAAAACCACTTATCTATTGAGTGATATTTATTTTTTCATTATATCAATTTATCTTTCAATTAAGGATGGATGATTATTATTCCTTTGCGTCGTACTTTACATGCTCACATATTGTTGAAACTGTTTGCTTCAATATCAATTTCTTTCCCAGAGAGCGTAGTATACTTATTGATAAAACGCACTTAACATTGGTGGCAGCAGTTCACTATCTGAGGTTTGAATCCCGTCGTAGCATTAATAAGTCGGTAGATTTGCAATTTGTAGTACCAAAATGAATGTCATTGGTATAGTCATACTTACAGCCTAACAGGGATACAATTCATTTGCTGGTTATTCTTGTAAATGCTAATAAAAATCGTTTCTTTTGTTTTTTGTTTTTTTTTGCTTTTTCAGACCAAACACTCTTAGAAGATATGTTGGTTGATAGTGGCTACTATAGTTACAATACAATAGTAAGTGATTTCTTCACAATTTCTAATTTCATTCAGAAATATGTTGGGTTTGATTCTAAAGTCATGGTATTTTATTGCCCTATAATATAGAGATATATTGTTAGGCTTATTGGATTTTTGTTTAGTATAGAATATAAATTTATTTCTAACATTCTTTTTATAATCATTCATTTTATTCTGATTATGATATTTTAGTTTGTTTTCCTTTGCTTGTTCAATTCAACTTTTCAAATTTTTTCTTCTTTCTTTTAATCTGTATTATTCTGCATTCCTTACTGTTTATTATATTTTCTTGATTGATGACTTCATTTAATATCTTCCTCTCATTAATTAGCCTGACGAAAATCACAGTTTAATCATGGTTATACTATGTGATATGATTAGCAGACACTTCGCCAAATTACCAAAGACAAGAGACGACCCAATTATCCCATATATACAAGAAATCGAAGAGGACCTGATCGCCCACACAACTAAACTGAACGCCTCGCTGGCACGCAATCGAATTAAGTTCCAAGCAAGAAGCGTTGAACATTTACTGCCAGAGGCCGTACGAGAACGTGAGAAATGTGGGTCACAAATTCCGACATATGCTTGGGTGAACGAGCTGAAATCAAGGTAAAAAAATTTAAATAGGAATCTGTAGTGGACTATGATTTTGTGGTCAAGTGCACTTCTTCAAATCTGTTGTACTGGGTTCAACTCATCCAGGTTTCAAATTAATATCTTCTTTGCAATTCAAGTTTTTAAATGTAAAAAATATTGAATAAACAATCTTCTCTTATTGTAATTGCTTTGTTTATGAATGATGCCAATGGAATTAAGGAGATTGCATGTTGTGTTACGTAACAACCATTCGTGGGACTAAGAGAACGAGAATGTGTTGAGGGCCTATTAGCCTTGTGTAAAGTGCAGGTAGTACTAGTAGCAGTGGTCTCTTCAGACTGAAACCTGAAGGTCTTCCCTTTCTTCTTTCCACCAAAATCATTGAAGAAACCCAGTGACATATGTAGGTAGTATTTAAATGGGGAGGGGGTGCTTGATGATTAAATGGGAAAAGGGCAGTGGTAGCTCAAAAAATAATGTCATATGATGAGCATGATTTTTTATTGCTTTGAACAGTTTCAATGTAGGGGTTGGCGACTTAGGTACGCACACTACCTAGATACGCCACTGGGGAACCTGCATTTTGAATTGGTGTGCACTATAAAAGTTCCTTAGAATCAGTCAAAATAAATGTATTAGTAAAATGCATTTTGCGATGAAAATATAGGTATTGAAAAACAATAACTGGAAAGTTTAATTAATCTTTGAGAGGTTCACATGAATAGAAATATGGCAATATATATAAACGCATCTTGATTCTGAGGGAAGAAAATGTATGTACAATGTCATAAATGGTATAATAATGAGTCATAATTACTTGCAAAAGTAGCATAGATGAAATTAGGGATAGGGTTACTCAAATCCTCATTAGCTTTTCACATATCATAAAAAACCTTTTATCAAATCATTACAGAGGAGGAAATTTCGGGGCTTTTTTGAAGGGATTTATTTATATACTGTATGATATCATGGGGAAGTAATCATTCCTCACAGGTATTGAGCATTTGAGTGCCGCTATTGTTCCATTGAATCATAAATACTTCATTCAATATTAGACAGGTGAGCGAGGAGTCAATAAAAGTCAACATTATGATATCAGGACATACCTACAATGCATAGAATAGGTGGATATTCAACAGTATAGATTAGATTGTAAGATATTTTATACTGTCTGTCATCAGTTTAATGATCCTGAAGTATAACATTTAGTGTTTGCATTACTTGTGTTTTTTTTTTTTTATGTTTAAGAAAGATATTTTTAGCTTTCAATAAACCACTTCCCAGTTTGAAGTGAACAGGAAAGTATGAAGGTCAATCAACACCATACACACAGCAGTCATGGTGGATCCATGAATTCAAAATGAAGGGGGCCGATGGAGGTACTTTCACAGATGGGGGAAATATAGCACCTCAGCCCCACAATGGTTGGGGCTGAAATAAAAACATTAATGATTATGGCACCTTTAGATGACCAGAAATTGCACTCTCAGACTTTGAATTTTAATATAATTTTCTTTTTATCTCCATTAAAAAAAAAATTTGAACAATTCAAGGGGGGCCTGGGCCGGCTGGGTCCCCTTGAATCCACCACTGCACAACATAGGTTTATGTTGATTGACCTGGGATACAGGCATGTGCAGTTCAAACTATGAGTGGACTTGAAAATTAGAAAAAGAATGATATTTTCCTAGGAAAACTTCAAAAAACAAATAATACCACTAAAAACATAAAAAAATATTTAGTAAAATCTATAATTTCTCATGGTAGATCTTTCCTACAGTGCTCATCTTTATTTCTTAGGTCGAACAGGGAGACCGTGCTAGCGTAGGGAAGATTTAAAGTCTCATTTAAAAGAACCACATCAGTTATACATTAGAGATGTAAATGAGTTTTTAATGGTTTTACCTGCTTTCTTTACAGAAAAAATTTTTGGCAGCGACTACTTAGAAATGTTATGGTTTAAAGATGCACCTTTTGCCAAAGGAAACAATGTGCTAGGAAAAGTTTTAAGAAAGGAAAAAGATTTTTATAATAGATTCTAATTTGTTGTCAATTTCTTTTGTTTTAAAGTGTTGCAAACGTAGTAGCAGAATTAGAGGAGGACGGGTATCAGAAGTTAGGATGCCTAGACCTTCTAGAAGAGTACACCTTCGCCAAAGACACGCACTGCAGCAATGTGCTCGTGTTCTCTGCGCAACAGCGTGAGGAGTTATCGGCGCATGATTTAGTAAAATCTGGTTCTCTGATCATACAGGTATGAAACAAATTAAGGCTATTACTTTGACATTATTTACTTTATTTAACAATGATGTTAGATTTATTATGCTTGATGAAAATGTTCCCGGAAATCTGTCCTCTATGGTGAATATGCGCAGAATGTCAGGTCGAATTTTGAATGCTGTCAGTGCCACATCAGTAGATTGGCTGGTGTCATGAAAATGGCTCATACTTGAGATGCAACTCAGAACTGCAATGCTTAGGGTGGGACGATGGTTTGACATTGAAGTTTTACCATTAAATTTACACAACCAGATATTGTAATTATTATTAATTTTGTTTTATTCAGGACAAGACCAGCTGTTTAGGACCACACTCGTTAAAGTCACTACTCAATGAGGGAGAGGACATTTTGCATACCATGGTCGGGTCTGGTTGGACCACTGCACATATAGCAACTTTATGCAATCAAGAAAAAAGTACAATCTATGCGTGCGGTGTTAAAACAGACGAAAAACTAGATCAACTGACAATCAATATGGAAAGATTAGGAATACATAGTATCCTTCATTAATTTTTTTTTTTTTAATTAATTTCTAGGCACATTTGGATTAAGACTTTTTTTCAAATATATCAAGGATAACCCAAGAAATTCCATTCAGGGGTCCCAGCAGGTCTGAGCTTGGTAGAAGTCAATCCTGGGAGATCTGTTTAAATGAGCTTTCTTTAACAGCATGTTACTTTGCACATGGTGATTCCCACCGGCACCAACCTTTGGAAAAACAATTGATAATACAGTAGTAAAATTTGCAGGATGTGGGTTATTTGCCGGGAAATTCTTCTTTCTGGTTGGAGTGCGGGAGGCTTTTTAAATTTCTGAGAAATCTCCAATGACTATAAAAAGACTTGGGACCCCTACTAGTGAGTTCGTGCTGGTGGTGAATTGTCCCGTACGCTCAGAGCTAATCCCTGACTTGTTCAGTTCTGAAGATTTTACAGAGCATTCTATAATTTACACATGGATCATATTGCACATGGGACCAGGAGGTGTATGTATTCACCTCTGTCTGTCTGTCTCTCTGTTAGCAAGATTACTCCAAAACTAAGGAAAGGATCATCAGGGGTACACAATAATCTAATAAAAAGATGATTAACTTTTAGGAAGAAAAGGCCAAAGGTCAAGGAAATTCAATTTTCTCCCCCTTTGAACCTACCCTCGAGTATAAAAAGAAAATAATGGAATAGCCCATACATGACTTGCGTATTGTTCAGTATGCATTCATGGATTGACTACTCTAATTATTAATATGGAGCTGTATTTCGATTTAAATATTATTTGAAAATCAACCAGCCAAGGTTCAGGTCTTCGAACCAAGAAATTCTCCCCAAAGCAAATACCGTAAAACCTCGAATTGAAGCCCAATGGCTTAATCTCGAGGCCCATCTTAAATTGAAGCCCCCTCTTTAGTTTGCAAAAGTAGCCTCGAAAAGAAGCCCATCTCGAAATGAAGCCCATGGGCTTCTTCTAAAGATAACATAAGCTTTTTTTCGAGATAGTACAGTACATACACTGTACATGAATTTCAAAAAACAAAATAAATTAAAATCAAGCTTGGTTTATACAGTAGTTTAGGTGATTTAATGCCAGTTGAAATCCATTCCATGATACAGATTGATGTTACAGTGGCCTTATTTATTGTTTTATAGGATAAATTCACAAAATTTACAGCATAAATTTTGAAAAGAAGCCCCCCCACCCTCTTTACTTTGCAAAAATAGCCTCGAAAAGAAACCCATCTTGAAAAGAAGCCCATCCAAAGTTCACAATAAAAAGAAGCCAGGAAAGAAGCCCAGGGCTTCAAATCGAGGTTTTACGTTATTGTCACATCTATGCAAATACCTTCTGTTTTTTTACTCCTTTGCTCTTAATGTTCTTAAGTTTGCTTATTAGGAAGGGCCTGATCAGGAAAGGGAGATTTCTCAGCTTACTCCTACTGGCTATACCATCAGAAGAATAACATCAAAAAATGTTAGTAGATTACTGTACAATAACAATATTCATGGTAATATTTTCCTATCAAGAGTACATTAGATGTGAAATTAATAAAGGAAGATTTCTTTGAGCTGCAGCACACTGACCCTCGGTTCAAGAACGTGAAACTTGCCCTGGTCACTCCGCAGGACTCAAGGTCAGGGATCACGAACCCAGTCGAATACATCATTCACGAGGGAGAAGGTAAATACCAGTTATAGCTGTTTTGTTGCACATTCCCATGGTAACTGATGTTATCTATGTTTGGTAGTCGTGACTCCTGTGAAGAAAATGTGGCTACACTACCCTAGGGGTTAGAAAGGCATGTCGGGGAGCTCTAATTTTGTTGTTTGTTAAATGGCCTCTCTGCTTCTTTTTCCTGTGGTTCATCATAATTAGAAAAAAGGATAGGAATTAAATTTGTACACATTTGAGCAATATTCAGAGTTGTTTTTTCCTAAAAATTATTTATATTTTTTATTCACCATTATTTTTGCTATCATTTTCTATGTTTTATGTTTGAATGATTAAAATGTGATACTAAAAATAGCTTATATTTTTTTCTTTCATTTAGTAGATGAAAATTGTATTTTATGCTAAAAATATCTGAAAAACTGATTATCAGAGTAATTTTGAACAGTAGATGCTGGTACTAATCATTAAGTTGAAAAATAATATATTTAGAATGGCATTTAATTGGTTTAAAATTGTATTGTAGGCTAAAAATATCGGAAAAAACTGATTATCGGAGTAATTTTTTAACAGTAGATGCTGAGTGATACCAACCTGATCATTAAGTCGCTTATACCAATCCATTTAGCTTGGCATTTGATAGTTTGAAGATCATATTTCAGGGTAAAAATATTCGGAAAACTCATTATCAGAATCGTCTTTAGCAATAAATGTTGATACAAAACTGTCATTAAGTTTTAAAATAAAAGGCTTATTTATACCAATTTATTTGGCATTTGTAGTTTGGAAATAATTCCTTAAATCTACAAATATTGGAAATATGCATTATTTCTAACAGCACCTGCAGATATAAAATAGACGATTCAGTAGTAATATAATTTTTTCCTCTTTAACTTTTAATGTCTTTAAAATTCACCTGCGTTGCCTGACTCATAATGAATTGTATTATATATGTTCTTCGCATTTTATTCAATGTTTACTCTTACTAAGGAGTTCCACTAACCACCCTTCTCTCTCCCATTTATTGGCCAGGCCAATTACTCCCCTCAGCCACGACTAAGGAAAACAAAAATTAAACAGCATAATGCATTACTAGAAAATTACAGTATAGTTTAAAAATAGCACACAATTTTTTAACGCACCCCTGTTCCTAGTGGAAATTGTAAAGCCATGTGTTGGACAGCCATATCCCACCCTTTCTCACTCCCCAAATACTTCCCTTCCATATCACCTTGAAGATAATATCCTAGATCTACCATTGCATATAATGCATGGATACTTTTTTCGGATTTCGGATTTAATGGACATAATGTAGGAATAGAACATAAAAAATTGAAATTAATTTTTGATTCTCCATCCTCCATATTTTTTAAATATGTTAAACACGTTTGCCATTGTTATAGATGTTTACTCTAGCGGTTTAAGAACCAAATAAAAAACAAGACAAGACTAGAATTGTTCGAGATTTTTAATTAGGATTTAAGGATATTATAATGCGCTGTATTGTATAAATATTACACTATTGTGGTTTGTCTATTTATTATTTAATAACTAGAGTAATAAAAGGCTTTTTTTTTTTTATAAATATTGTTTGTATAAGTGCATCTGCCTATGCTAGGTAATATCTTAAGAAGACCTACAAATAGACTTTATAATACACTTTTAATTTAAGTCTTGAAGTTAATTACCATGGAATATGCCATTTCCTTATTTCTGAATACAATGAACTGTATTTTCAAGGTCCTATTGATTTTATTTCATAGTAGAATGAATATTCTAAAAGAAAATACAAATCAACTTTATGAGCTTGGAATATAATACTGTAATAACTAATTCGTATTTATTAATTCATAATCAATATTATTAATATGCATTTTTTTTTGTAGTGTAGCAAGATACAAAATTATTTATTTTAGTCAAATGGAATAAAAGATATTGTAGTCTTATTAATACAATGGTTACCGAGTACAAGATTTTTTTTTTTTTTTTAACGTTTAAGAATGTAAAGACCACAGGATCCACTAATTAGTCTTAAACAAAACAAAAAGAGAGTAACTCCGAAAAGAGACAGAGACATTTTGAGATTCAACATTTCGATCTATTTGATCATTTTCGATTCTCATCAGTATTCTTGAAAAGGATCAAATAGATCGAAACGTTGAATCTCAAAATGTCTCTGTCTCTTTTCGGAGTTACTGTCTTTTTGTTTTTGTTTTAAGAATGTAAAGCATTTGCTCATTTATAAACTTAAAAACACATCTTTAAATGAATGTTTGAGAGGTATTTACACAGACAGTAATTTTAATTGGAATTATTTTTTATTTAATACAGCCATAGATTTACAAAAAAAAGATATGCATATTAATAATTAAGAAGTGGCTGTTTATTTTATAGAGAGCGCTCTTCATTTTTAATGGAATAGCTCATTGTTGTATGTAAACATTATTATTTTTATATTGATAGTTAATTTCTATATCTTGAAAATAGTCATGAGACGAACTGTTGTATCCAAACAACAAGTGGTAAGGATTTTTATAAGTCATTTACGACAGCTTAACTTGAATGATTGGTTAGCATTGACTGATATTGACATTTGGATCTAGTGGTGATATTGATTTTGTCTAGACTTAAGCTCCTTATCTGTATATTATTATCATCATCATCACCATATTGTTAGCTCTTTCCAAATCACATTGTTATCATACCAAGTGCTACTTGCAACCTAACCAATCTGATTGATTAAAGTATTTATCCTCATGCCTTGAAAATGCCAAAATTCTGGGGTCTTTATCTCTGATTGGCTAATCCAATGCAGCAAAAAAAAACTGAAGTACATTTACAATATAAGTTAATATTAAACTTCAAATCAACCTATAAATTATATAAATTCATAATTTAATTGAAGATCTTAAATATTTACATTATTTTAACATCATCTATCTAACATCCTTTAACTTTATTATAAGACCATCGTAAACAACATATTTCTATATTCACATAGCAAATGCATAGAATTTATAATATTTGAAACTATCCAGGCGAAACAACTGTTTAAATAATATAGATAATTCTTAATATAATTATGTTCAAAACAAAAACAAAAGATAAATTTTGTGGTACAAATTTAAATTGACAATTAAAAAAATGTTATAAATTATAATTATTACTAATATTATTGGTTCCTATGCTTTCAAGCGAAGGAACCGTTAAGATACCCTTCGTGTGTTTGTTTGTGACATGTATGTTACGCTGTTTTTTGTAAACAGGCAAAAGTGACTTTCCAGATAACTGTTCGTTATGAACATCGGTACCCAAGCTAAACCGGATATGACGTCTGTGAAATATTCAATAATTTTCTATTTTGACAAATATTAAAGCCATAACTAATGAAAGACAATACTCCCTACTTTTGAAAAGATTAGTAAATTGTATGCTAATAGGAAAACATTTATGTAATGTTGTTTACTTTAGTTGTCCAACTAACTGTCTTAAATGTGATGGATTGGACTCTGGGGACTTTCCTGGGTAGTATGGACAGAAAACACTCCAAGAAATTCAATTTTTTACTTGTTTGGATAAGGTTCTATAGACACAGCATAGAATTGTGTTGTGGTTTGATGAAAACTTGATACTTGACAGAATAATCCTTCTGCAGCTTCTATCGGAAGCTAGACTTAAAAATGAAACTGCCGGATTAACACTTGAGGTCTCCCTGGTTTTGTTTGTTGCCATGTTTACATCATCGCAAATAGAGTAGTGCAATATTTCACGAATGCCCGCAAAGGAACCTTGGCCCTCGCAGAGGTCTGGTTATTATTAATTATTATTATTATTTATATAGCGCCTTTTCTTTGTTGATACAAAGTGTTTCTTTTTTTGCTGTCATTTCTTTTCTGTGGGTCTGTCATTCCATAATTGTTCCGGGCCAAAAAAATGTCCGGCGGACAGATTTTGGCTGCCAAAATTGGTCAGCCGAAATACTAAAATCGGTCCTCCGGGTTGATTTTAGCTGCTAAAACCGGTCCCGCTTGAATAAAATTGATCCTCATCTGCCTGGCCGCTTGTAACTCGTCTGCTGCTCAAATGGTATGATTGTTTCTCCCGTGGAGTGGAGGAAAGTAATCTATGTTTCTCCCACACTTGCCAAGTTTTTTGCAGTGACAGAATGATTCGTATTAAGGGTTTCATCAAAAGTGCATTTCCTAGGCCTAAGCGATACACACAGTATGCATTATTTTCGGTGGCCGTGGTTAGAAACACAAGACTGATTTATTGGTTTGAAATATTCCGGATTATTGTGTGGGGTATTAGATCATACAATAGATGTTATAATACATGAAAATAAAGGGGTCAGAATTCTTGAAATTAAGTGCATGTACTTTGTCACAGTGTTAAACACCAGTTAAACACCAATTAAGCACACACAACAAGGTAAAAAAAATAAACTAAAGCGAACCAACACGATTTAAGACCACATCGTTTAATTTCTTTTCATACTTTTACACCAAATGGTTTACTGGGCGCAAAGCTACTTTTAATTTCACCTATGATTTCACACATAACGAATGAAAACATATTATATAATGACAGATAAGATATTTATCTATCATTTGATTAAAAGAAAATATGAACAAAGTGATAAAACTACAAGTTATAACTTCTAAATAGATGCCGGATTTTGGCTTATGTGGACTACATTTGGCAGGTAATTTTAAAGCCAAAATCGGTCGGGCGGACCGATTTTGGCCCCGGACAAAACACATGCTTAAAAGTTGCTGCTAATCAGCACAGGAGCAGGCAACCCACCAGGTACCCATTTATACTACTACTGGGTAGAGAGAAGCAATGCAGATAAAAGTGCCTTGCTCAAGGACACAAGCAAAGTGTTCAGCGAAGGATTGAAACCCCGACCTCAAGGTTGGGAAACCAAACCATACCCGCTGCGCTAATAAACAGTTCTTTTAAATGTACTTTAAAGTATTAACATTTTATTGCAATTTTTTAATAGTGTTTGCAGTATCTCTAGGAAGAACCTTCCCATATCAAGACCAAAGTTCTTTGTCAACTCTTTAATTACTAATCATGACAACTTAAGAATTAAAAGACAATACAAATATTGCCCTTGAATGGGTGTAGATTACCTTTTGTATAGTTCTAGCCTGAGCATTCTCTTCTTGCCAAGGCAAGACGCATTCTTTTTTTTCAAGGCCTGAACCTTGTCAGGCTAAGGCAAAACCCCTAATGCTCTACAAGGCCTGAACCTTTTCCTTCAAAGGCATGACCCTTGTCGAGCCTTGCCTCTTCTACATCAGGTCCATTGGTTTATGCCTGTGAGACTAAATAAAAGATGAGTGTTTATTGATCCAACTGCCTTTACAAGACTTTAAACATTCAATTTATTCAACTATACTTCTGGTAACATAGCATGAATAATTAATGACGATTAACATCCTTATATTTAAATAGACTTAATTTCTGCCCCCTTGACTATAGGCTTTAAGATCGGAATATTTCATTTTAGACAAGGTTTAATTTTAATTTTCCAAGAATGAGATATAATTTTAAATGAAAGAACACCACAAGGTCACTTTCTTGGAAGTACGATCTTAATAAATAGATTGCAAATTAATAGTGGTGGACGTTATTCTAGCTTCAGTTTGTTAACATGACGGCAACGATTATCTTTGTCTTATTTCAGATGCAAGTATATTACGGGAACTGTCTCAGGAAAACACAGATGAAGACAAACTTGATGGTCTGGTGTCAAGGCACATGGATACCTTAAAACATGCAATGAAATGTAAGATACAAACTTATAGAACTGTTTATAACATACCACTTCTGAATTCATGCTTGGCCTTTAAAAATTAAGGCATCCTTAAAAATTTCATCTCTGATTGGCTGTATCGCAAGATGTAGTAACAAAATTTACAACATTGTTGTCTACTCCACGTGTATACCTAAGTGCAAGCAAAATTTTGAGTACACATGTGTGAGAACATTCTGCTAGGTCTATGGTGTTTATGCATATGTAGTATGCACGAGCCGTAAGGAGATAGATTTCGTTCACCGCACATATTAAGTCTGCCAAAAATGATCAAACACAAAAGATATTAATTTGGAGTAAGCACCACGAATGCTAAAAGGTGTTTGAAAATCTACTACACACGATAGTTTTGTGTTTACCCCAAATACCACGAAGGACATGTGCGGTAAGCAGATATCTCTTCTGTGTTCGCCCTCCTTTTCGAGACCTGAAAATTTATGGTGGTCTCGGGGTTAAAAGATTGAAAGTTTTATTTGGTTCTTTGTAAAAGTGGACTTAAATTAGAAAGGTCTCGGAATTAGAACTGTCTCAAATTGGAGGGCGCACTTCTGTATTACTATTAGAATGAAAGGATGCGATGATCTAAACTAAACTCTCATTGTGATATTTACTGTTACTATTTGTAATTATTTTAGCTTGAATGCTTTTTACAGGATTTGATCTTCAGAGTTTGGTATTTGAAGGCTAGTATGATTTACTTCAAAGCTACAGTTTACTAAAATTTCAAATATTCTGTCTTATCTTGCTAATTATGTTATTTTATAATGTATATTTTTTAGTTCCAAGGGTGCAAGCAGTTGTTTATACGACATGTTCTATACACGAGGCAGAGAATGAAAACGTTGTCACAAAAGTAACGGAATACCTGAACGCAAGGAATGCCGGGTCAAGGAATAATTTCCGACTCATTCCACCAGTACTACCTCTGACGCAGAAAGATCTTGAAAATCAGACATCAGACAGGTTCTTAAAAATCAACCCCTCACCGTTGATGGGAGGTTGTTTCGTAGCAGTGATTAGTCGAGAGGTAAGCATGAATAGGCAAACTTGGATAGGTCTCCCAACTCAACTGTTCAGCTATCATAGCTAATATATTTTCTTAAGTGATTTTTTTGTGCGACACTTCTAAATGACTTCAGTGGATCTTTGGCTTGTTTATCAAGGTCCTTTCCTTTTAATCGTAAAGTCTTAAGCCTGGCAATCACTGCATCTGACGGTTGTCCACTGATGTGATTCTCTGGAGAAGGCAACGCCACAACGCACACGCAACTGATCATTTTTAATGATGATCCGTTCAGACAGCCACGACCCTCAGCAGAAGGCTCAGCAGTTCAGTTTTCCTCTCTTCACAAAATAATTCTCTTGGTTACAAATGTATTCAAAGAGATCATACCAAAAGCTCTATTTGGTTCATAGTTTGAATTCATTTGTAAAAATGATATTTGATTTGATTTGATTTATTATGCATAGCTCGAATAATGATATTGAGAAATTATCAATAATTTGAAATTTGAATATCTCAAAACCATACTTTGCAGAATTTCACCTCCAAATATAAACAGCTGAGAAATTTCTTATGCAACTCATTTTGACACGACAAACTTACAATTTGTGTAGTGTTTTCAAGGTCACTTTTGTTATTACCGTGTAAGTGAATATATGGAACTGGCAAGGAAGTTGAAACAGCTGCCGATTACGGCAAGTGTGCAACTAACCATATAAGTATTAAGATTAAGTAAACATAATGCTGTGAAGTATACATCTTTCAGTAATAAATTTTTGAAGAACTGTCTGATTAAATATTGGATGGTGAGACATGATCTGGCTGCCAACTGGATGATCTGGATGAGAAAGACTTGAACTACTGTAGATCTCTTGAGGTGACATCTTGAAAAGGCATTTCACCTTGTAGAGTATTTGGTGAATAATAACTGATGATGGTTTTGTTGATCATGATGGTGTTGCTGATGATGATGGTGACTGACAGCGATGGCAGCAGTTTCGTGAATGATTACGACAATGATCAAATGGCAGTTTTGTCCAGATTTTAAAACCCAGATCACTTATACTTCATGTACTTTAATGATTTTTTAAAATTTTTTTTTCTTACAGGATGAAGCTTTGACAGCTTCTGACATCCTCGCAAGAGCTGCCGCCAAGGGTCTCTGCGACACACCAGAGGGTAACAACAATAACGAGGAGGAGAAAGCCAAATCAAAGAGGCGATCATCCAAGAGCAAGGGCATCTCCCCGAAATCAAGCAAGTCAAATCTGAACAAGAAGACGCCCACAAAGCATATGAGGTCGTCAAAGAGCAGTCTGACATCAAAGATAAGCGACAGTAGTTCAGGTACTTCCCCACCAGCCACAACTCAACGCAAGTCTCGAATCGTGCGCACAGCAAGTAAGTTTAAAAAGATACATTATTATGCTATAGAATATGAGTGACTGCTAAGGAGGTTTAACAATTTCATTTTTTTAGTAGACTCTTCTACTCGACTGTCTCATGGCGAAACAATGTAACTGCTTTTATATTTTTGTTTAGTTACGTTGTTTTGCCTTGGAACGGCCATATTGTGTTGTGGGTCTCTAATGCTTTTGATGGATAGACCACCCTCATTAAACAATGTTGAAATAAACCAAAAATTATATTATTACTGCAGTAAAACCAAAATAACAATGTGTCGGTTGATAGTCGGCCAACTGTTGGCGACGATTCCTTCCAAATTCTGTGTGAGAGTTTGCTTAATACCAATTCTGTCTGCTGAATATTGGTTACAGTTTAAGCAGACGTTCACTGAAAACAATTCGCTGTGTGCGCCTGATCGTGGTGCCATTTTCATGGAATCAAACTGTTGGCTGACTCACTGGATTTAAGCCTAGTGCGGACTATCAAATTTTATTTTACAAAAACATGTGACAATGACATGCCTACATATGGTCATGATGAAATCACATGACCATATAGAACGACATCGTAACCTGTCTCTTATACACATCTAGATGTGTATAAGAGACAGTCTGGTAAAATAGCATGAATTTAATTTGATAAATTATTTAATCCTTCAAATTAGATATTCCAATATTTTAATTAAAATTAATTTCAAGTTTTGCCTTATATAGCTGCATCCTCACTTATCTTTTTAATTTGTATTGCATAATAATTAAATTATATTTCTTTATTAATAACAAAAAATCTTGTTTTAATATAAAATGATGAAGTCTTAGATTTCAATTGCCACTCACTATTATAAAGAATAAAAATATAATTATATGGATTTTTTTTATAGCTGATGTTGCCTCAAAATAATTCAATAAAAAGTAAATAAAAATGATATTACTCCCTTACTTTCAGGTGATCCAAGTATAGTACAGGGTAATTGTCTGCCATGCTATCCATTTAATATCATACTTGTCATTCTGTTACAATTTTATAGTCTGCCTGTTGCTATGGCAATAAAGATAAACAAGTCACATTCCTGTAGTTTTTATAGTGTTACTGATAATAAGCATGTCTAATTTGAGCATGCCCAGCATGGCAGGTGTAAATATTATGTCCATTGTTGCTGATTATCTGGAGTCAGTAAATTGTAGTCAATTTTCAGATCTGTTTTACGGAAACTGAAGGCAATTTGAAATGTTGTACAGTATTTACAATGTTAAATAAGGTTCTATTTTAATACTGTTTTTCCTTTTTGCTAGAATGTTTTTATTTTGTTTATTTCATTTTTTGCTCATTTTGTTTTGTTTTTTATGAGTTATGTCGTTGATGCTTTTTCTTTTTATATATATTTAAATAACCCCAATGGCAGTGGCCGACGGGGGCGTCCAAGGATCCCAACAGAAGGGCTGATGTCCCCGACCAGAAAAAAGTGGGCGTGGTTGGGCGTCGCTAAAAACCTTTCAAAAGTAGCCCAGGGGACGTAGACCCTCACCCCCGTAGCGCCACCACTGCCCTATGGATTATTTTTTTATCATTTTTCAATTTTTATGTAATTTTTTTATCTTGTGTATTTTTAAGTTGTATTTTTATATGACAGTCATATTTATATAATTGAATATAACATGGAGCTAAGTACTCTAACTCACATTTTACTTATGCGATAAGTATTGCTGCATCTATTTTTTATGATGATTGTTTTACTTGAACCATTAATGTTCCCAGCATGACTTCCATGTTTGTCTTCCATTAGGAAAGCCACGTAAACTGGCTGTCAAATCCACCAACTTTCCCAGTACGCCGACTGTTAAATTTCCAGCAATCGTGCCTCCGTATTCTAGCATGACTACCGCTGAGCCTGTGCTTAGCCAGCCTAATAAGCAAATCAAAACTAAGCATGTTACGTGGGCCGAAGTGAGCTCCAAACATAACATAATAATGAGGAAGAAATCTGGAACCTAGTGCTACTCTAATGTGCTTGGTGTTTTTTGTTCCGAACTGTATTTGTAAGTGTTTTGTGGTTTGAATCAGTGTGTTGTGTAAGCATCAGGAAAGATGACATCCTTCAAACTAGATTTTAGCTGCTTTTAACCACTTCATACCAGTTTATACTGGTTCACACAAGGCCTTGTGCAGTGTATATTTTGATGTGCTTCAGAGCTTTACTAACATTTAACCCATTTTTCATTTCATAATTTTATGCTTCTAGTGATTATTTAATTATATTAGCAATAATATCAAGAAAGAATATTATCATAGTTTATATTTACCATACTGCTTCTTAGGAATGATGACATCTCATAGCTGCTTTTAACTACTTCATACCTGTTCAAACCAGATCTTGCTTGCAGTGGTTTGATTGATGTTGATGTTTGAAAATGACTATACATTTAACCTCATTCTTCATTTCTTTATACTGATTGTGCTTCTAGTGTGAAATTTTTAGTATCAAATTATTTATTAAAGTTTAGTTTGCATGTATACTGTATAAAAAACAAAGACATCAGTATGTTTTTGACAAGGATATTTTCGATTTTGCTTCACTAACTGAAAACCTCTTTTTCAGTAGATTCCAACTCCTCAAACTCTACAGATTCATTTGCTGAGAAGCACTCTGCCAAGTCATGCAAATCTTCTGCAACCAAAGCACCATAAATCATCCCCACCACCAGGTAGCATGTAAATGCCTGTCACTTCTGTCACTACTGTACCATGGCATTGCTATAGTTATTGTTGTTTCTTGTTGCTTGATCCTTCCATGCTCTAGTTAACCATTGCTTCTTGATTCTACCATGATATTCCTTTAGTTACCATTGCTTGTTGATGTTATGGCATTCCTATAGTTTACCAGTGCTTCTTATTACTGTTACAATGGTATACCTATAGTTGGTACTTCCTGTTGATGGTACCATGGCATTGCTATAGTTATCTTTTGCTTGTTGATGCACCAGGGCATTGGTATAATTATTACCATAGCATGTTGATGCTACCATATTCTTTTTGTCACCATTGCTTGTTGATGCTACCATAGTACTCCTATAGTAGTTACCATTGCTTGTTGATGCTACGATGGCATTGCTCTAGTTACCATTCCTTGTGGATGCTACCATGGCATTCCCATAGTTACCATTGCTTATTGACGTTACCATGACATTCCTTTAGTTACTATTGCTTGTTGAAGATAATGGTATTCCTATAGTTACCAGTGCTTGTTGATGATACCAAGGCTGTGCTAAAGTTACTAGTGCTTCTTGTTGATATTACCATATTTCATACTATAGCTCTTATGCTGATGAAGGCATTTTGATAGTTTCCATGTGTTTTTTTTTTGTTTTTTTTTCGTTTTTGTTATTGTATTTCTATAGTTCATTTACTACTTTTTGTATTGCTACCATGGTCACCATTTATTATTTCTAGTAATTTTATCATTGCTTTATATTGTGCTACCATAGCAGTTCTACCATGGCTTTGTATTTTGTTACCATGGCTTGTTGAAGTTTGTTGCCATTGTTTCCTATTTTGTAGATTGCATTTCTAATTACCATGGCTTTCTATACCTTTTACTAAAGACAGCATTGCTTCATTCTTGTAGGACTCGATTGCTCCATACACAGCAAAAACATACTATATTTTAACTTATAGTAAATATTATATATAGTAATATAGTAACACACTGTGGTATATAGTAAATTAGTAACATACTATGTATGGTATATAGTAATATAGTAACAGAAACAGCATTAGTAGCATTTATAACAATAAGTAGATATTTTTATGAAAGCTTTCTATGAAATTTACTAAAATATACACATGTTACTTCAGACATGTGTCCACACAATACGATTCATACCAGGGCGGTTTGGCGCTGTGGAAATGGTTTGGATTCCCAACCTCAAGGTCAGGGTTTCAAAACTTCTTTGTGCATTTTGCTTGTGTCCTTGGGAAAGCACTTAATGTACATTGCTTCAGTCTACCCAGCTGTATCAGTGGATACCAGCAAATTGCTGGGGGTAACCTGTGGTGGGCTAGTGTCAAACCCAGGGGGAGCATCACAATCTCATCCGCTTCACGCTACTTGAAATTGGTGGTAAGCTCCAGCCCATATGAGGCCCGTGGCTTGGCAAGGGTTTACTTTTACTTTAAAGCTTAGAAGTAAATAGGCAAAATTCTTTGAAGCAATAAGCACCTCTCTGTTGTTTTCTTTTTCAATATCACTTGTATGCTAATGAATGATGTGCATTGTGAATTTTGATTGGTTGATCTCACATGCTAACTTTATTTTATGTGTTTTTATTGGTTGATTTTTCTGTAATCTTAAGGTTATTACATTGGATTTATTCGGTGTAAACACCAAGGATATCCCTCAAAAGTCTAGAAGAAGACTTATTTCCAGTGGGGTCCTTCTGGTGGTGATTGGGCAGTACACCGGAAGACAATCCCCATCTCTTTTCCAAATAGTGTACTGCGTTCTTTAATGTGCACATAGGCCATTAAATGCACACAGGCATTAAACGTCTCATCTGAAAGATGTTGCGCTATTGTAACTTGTATTTCAGCCCTCCAACTGAAACACAAGGAGAGGGAGCGATAGGAATTGAACCGGGGACCTAGAGATCTCTACGGGTGTAAACGCAACATTGATCTTTCTGTTTTTTATTTATTAAATTTTTACTAATGATTTCCATATTAAAATATCTAATTTGTATTTTGAATAATCATGATTCCCAGGTGACATGTTTGCTCATCATTTCAACAAGCACCCATCTGATTCTGGTGAGGATATTGTGCGGATGGCTCCAGAGGGCGTCCCACAGACGCAAGCAACAATCCAGAGGATTCAGCCAAAAGTACTGATCACGCAACCACATCAAGCAGTTATCTCGCATCCAAAACCATTTGTTTAGGATAACCGTGTGGTTTTGTGTACTGTTTTTATGAAATGATAACACCTGTTGATATCAACATGAGTATTAAATAAAGTAACTATATGTAATTAATTTATTGTTTATTATTGTTATTATTGGATTTAAACATGTTTTTGATAGATTTTGTGATCCAAGAGAAATATAGATAACCAAAATGACTTGATCAGTTCATATTTATTTGTTGTTTGTCTCCTCAACTAGTCTCTGAAAACAGAAATAAATAGTAAAAACCCTAATGAGAAATTTATATACTTATATGCATATCATTTGCATATATTTATATATTTGCATATTAAATTGAATGTGATATAGTTTGCATATTAAGTTAATTATCATTTGAACTGCTAATTTATTTTGGAATAATTAACACGCTACTGTAGCGTGTTAATTATGTAACACTGTAACAGTGCACCCTTCAATTCTGAGACCCCTCTAATTCGAGACCACTTCTTCAAAGAACTAAATAACAATCATCAATCTATTAACGCTAAGCTAACCCTCCATACAGAGACTGAACCCCGAGAACATCCCAATTTTTCTGGTCCCAAAGGTGGTCTCGAACTGAATACTAATTGGTGTTTTGAATAGCATTGAAACTGCAACATTATTTTGAACATCAGTTGGATACATAACTACACCAAGCAGTTATCCAACATCCACTACATTTGCATAACAATTTGAATATGATTGATCTGCATACTACTGATTTGATTAATTAGATAGATGTGGTAAAATGCAAATGCTATGGGTGTGAATCAAACACTTGTAGCATCAAAATCAAATGTGCAATCATCTCTATTGATTGATTGGTTGGATGATTGATTAGTTGATAGATAGATAGATTGATTGATTGCTATATTTTTTTTTCTATTTATTAATATGTATTAAATGTTCCTTTGGATTAGAAGTAATCTATCACGGTTAGTGTCATAATTATAGTAATAAATTAGGCTTGTCATCCCAATACCAGAATGAGTGACCCAAGAATAAATTTGACCTTTTAATATATTCTTATTATCCACGTTGTAAGCTTTAAAATGATGGGTCATTTCAGTGGCGGTGCCAGCGGGGGGACAGGGGGCTTAAGTCCCCCCAGCGGACAGGTCAAGGTCTCCTCCCTCCCCCGCCGGACAGAGCTCGTCGGGCAGTCAGGCCATAAAACATATAAAAATAGGCCCACACCAAGCCAAGACAAGTCTGTCAGTCTGAGAGTGCCATTTCCGGCCATCCAGAGGTTGCCATTCATAAAAAAAAAAAAATCTCATTTGGGAGGCTCGAGTCTACGAGCTCAAGTCCCCCTGTCAGACAATTTAGCCCCCCCCCCAGAAAATATATCCGAGCCGCCACTTGGTCATTTACTGGAATCAGCTTCATATTGCCAAAGTTATGAGTGAAAGTATTACAGCTTCTTTGTGCTAAAGTAGTATAAAGTAGTGCATCAATTAGCAACAGTGTGCTAGTTTTGGAATGGCAAGCCTCAAATGTTATTGATATTTATATTCTTATTGTTTGTTTTATATATATAAATAAATCATTCAAAAGTTATACCTAAATGACGAGCTACATTTTGTATAGGAGCATCTCACCCTATGTATAGGAGTGTATCACCTTGACTTTAATTATAAAATTAAAAAAATATAATATTTTGTCAAACCTCCAATTGAGGCCAATTACTGTAAATTTTCAAACTGTAAATAGAATTCAAAGATTGTACAGTAACTATTTTATTGTTGTAATGATATTTTCGAATGATCCGTCCGTTGGTTTTTCTGAAGAGTACTTGATTAAATAATTTGTTATGATGTGCAAAATTACAATGATTTTTTGTATTGATTATTAAAATGAAAATTTAAAATCTGTTTACGATGAATTTATTGTTTAGATGTCATTCTGTGTCAACATGATAGACATGACGTTTGAGTGACTAATGACGGGGATAATATAAGTTTTCAGAATAAAAATGACATGACGTAAAAGGCAGAACAAATTAGTTAATTTTTCTATGTTTTCAAGGACATTCAGAATTGGTTTGACCTCTTGAACCCAACAGTTCTATATGTGATGCCGCAAAGTTGGCCGAGTCAAGCCAGTTTATTATGAACAAATTAGAAATATAAAATTATCACCAAAACAAACAACATATTAAAGTCATGAGTATTGACATGGTAGAAAACATATTTCACCAACAGCTGTATAAATGTGGCCCAAGATCCTAAAAGGGCTGTAAGCCCATCCTCAGACATATCATTTACTTTAAAATGACAGTTAAATGAACTCAATCGGGTGTTTGGAAGCAAAGTTAAGACCGTTTGAATAATTGTCATCTTGTCAACTTTCTTAAATCAAGTTTTGAGAAAAATGCCTTTATTTTCGGCAGGTTTCTATTCATTTTTCACTAACTCCCATTCCAAAATGGCTAAATTTTACATTTTACAGTTGGAATTTTAAACTCGAACTTCAGGAATAGTAAGAATAATAGTTACACTTTATTTATTACACAAAATCCCAATTCACACAAAATTCACATTTTACGCCCTATTCTGGCTGTTGAGGCTTGTTTCTCAATACAGCGCAGTGCGAGTTTACAGCCCTTTTATGACCTTGGGTCACAAATGGGCTCAAATTGTGAAGGAATATCTTCTGGAATGATACTACATTCTGGAGCAAGATGGTGATGATGATGATGATTTTGATGATTAGGCCAAATAAAAACTATTGTGTTGGCCACACCCGACTGACCCAAAATGTATGAAATTGAGGTTCAGCATTTTCGTTTTTTTTTTGTCTACAACGAAAAATATTTTTTGATGAGCTAAAAAATGCTGGAATAGGCCTATTTTGCTGGATGGTAGGCGATGCCACAGTGTTATGCGACCGTTTTGCTCTTCAATATAGATTTTAAATGCTATTTGTTGAGTTTTTGTGTATTTTCTACTTTTTAAGCATAAACACATTATTGGTTAAATTTAAAAAAAGAAACTTTTCCTACCGACCTACCCATTTTGTGGATTTTCCAAAAACATGGCCAACACAATAATTTATTTTTTCTGGCCTTACGATGATGATTTTGATAATTATTATTATGATGGAAAGATAAGATTGTCCTTAATACATGGCATCCTAGATATAGGGTCACTCCTAATAATTTCACTTTTAGAGGAACAAGCTGAAAATGAGGATAAAAATAATGATGATGTTGATGAAAATAATGAAGAGGATTGTGATGATGAAGATGATTATTTATTTTATTTATTTATTTATCATTTGTACAATAGCAGCCCAAAGAGCTGAATTGTAGTATCAATTGACAATTTGGTCTCATTAAAAACAGAACAAATTTAAAACTATCAAGGATATACAATAGGAAACATAAACAATATGATTAAAACATTAAAAAGAATTAAAATCATAAAAAGTATGATAAACAGAACAATTTACAATTCAGTCAAATTAAAAACAGTAAAACAAATTAAAACAATCAAGAATACATATACAGTACTATAGGAAAAAATATGATTAAAAACATAAAAAAAACCCCAATATTCATAATTATCAATAAATTAAAATAATTATTAAAAAAGTACTATAAACAGAATAATTTATATCAGTCACATAAAAAACAAGAAAAAAAAGCAATCATGAAAATACCAGATGATGATGATAATGATGATTATGATGATGGCAATAATGATACTGAAGATGATGACAATAATGATAATGAAGATGATGATTATAATGATAATGATCATATTATTTAATATTACTTGTAATAAAATTTTATTTTTTCTGTTTATTACATGGTAGACTTTCCAGTGATAAAGCTTATTAAATTAATTTACAAATGAAATAAATATTAAATTGTGCAATATTTTGAGAATATTATGTGACGTAATTACCGATTGAGACAATTTGAAAGAAAGTAAAATGCACTTTTTGTTAAAGTTCAGTTGATACTGCAAAGAAAAGTTAGGCGGCATCGTATTGTAGATGGCGCTATATAAATATTTGTTGATATCACAACTTGATTTTTTTATCGTTCAGGCGCGACGGCGGCGATAATTTGAATCTTAATTGCAACTATAGGTGGCGCTCGACCCACGCTTAAAAATTGAAAACTAACGCTAGCGATAATGGCGGAAGAACAGAAATCAGGTAGTCAAGATGAACAAAAAACCGACTCTGGTTTTGGTATTGGAGATCTTGTGTGGTAAGTTAGAACAAAATGTAATTACTACCTCTTGTAGTTTGCAAATTTACTGAAATAAAATCGGCTATGGTTCTCTTTATCTTTACAGGGCCAAGATGAGCAGTTTCCCAGCGTGGCCTGGCCGGGTAAGTCGATTCTTCTACACGTTGCTACTTTGATTGGTGATTGTCGTGACGCCGGTTGCTTAGCCTAGGCCTACACTCGGGTTGTGATGCGTGTACTGAACGGCATCGGCGACCTTCAGTTACCATCAATAAAGAATCTGGTGTTGTATTCACTTTAAATAAACGTGTTTTAAATGGATTAAAATTATGCTTATCATTCTCTGAATATGTTTTTATTTGATCAGAAATTGGCCACATTTTGCATCTTTGTTGATGTCCCAAGTACAAGTTGCCTATTTTTTATGTTTTGATTTTTGGTATATTTTCCAGATTAGAAGTAAGTTTTTCATCATGTCATGGAATTGGGTTAGGCTAATCCAATGTAGGACATTAAAAAATACCTAGCATTTATTTTGCAAAAAAAATAATTAATAATATTTGGGGAGGGGCTGGTCTCTCTGGCATTCCCTTCTACAGTATTTGGTTGAGTATGTTATTGTTAGGAAGGATGAATGCCTAGAGCCTAGTTGTGGTTCATGATGTGGTGGTCCTTTTGCAGCTTATCTAAACTGGGATTGGTAAGGTACAGCAGGTCAGCAGACAGCAGTGTAGCCTACATATAAAAACAGGGTAAAATTGGTATTAAATTCATTGCCAGAATGACGGTGTTGTCAGCTAACCAGGTATATATACGATCAAATTAGGCCTACCTGCGTATGCACAGACAGGCAAAGATTAAGGTCAACTAGAATGTAATGTATTAATACTATTATGACACTTAACACACATTCTGGAGTGTCCCATAGTAAAAATCAATTTATTGGTCATTACCGAACAACAAAAGGTTACTGGCTGAAAGTAAGATGATTTGTGGTAAAACAGTCAATATATCTTGACCCCGAAAGATTACTATAAATTATTTAATAATTCAAAACTGCAATGATGAATAACATAAAAGGGCAATATCTTTATCCTTGTTGACTCTTTGACAAGAAGAAGTCTGACAACTTCTTTGCTTTAGCAAATAATTAAGTAAAAATATGTTAAATGTACTTTCTGTATAAAAAAAAAGAAGGAAAACAACAGAGAATATGTTACCATCATATGTACTACTGTATACTACAGTAAAACATAAAATATCCTATAAACATAATATTTTTAATGAGAGACACACCAACTATTGTCAAAGGCAACCAGCATTAGTACTGTATGAGACACCCTATATTGGGTCTTGCTGGTATAGTTCAATGAGACTGACTAGCTTAGCAATGTTGCATGGCTAACACCTGAAGAATTTATATTTCTATTATTTTTCTGTTTTCTGATCTCATGTAAAATAATTCTTTTAGATACCATTTTCGCTTAAATTTAAATTGAAAATTTCTGAGTACCTGGCAACTAACACTGGGTTACTTGCAGAGGCCTAGGAATTTCGCTCTACATATTTACCAGTGTGTCTATGATGTGACTGGTGAATGACATTTTTGTTGTAGTGAGTTGGGCATCGGCTAGTCTTTGAAAACAAAATGCTAAAACCAAAAGAAAAAAAAGAAAATAGGAGCGCATAAAACCTGCAGTGTTTTCGGTTGTCGAAGTACTCAAAAGAAGATATGTGTCTAGAAAAAACAGAGTTTGCTTAGGCTAAGCTGATGGATATCCCCAAGTGAAAAGTTGTGAGACATTGGCATTGCTATTTCAAAATAATAAAATGGTGCAGTTATACCACCTCAGTGTGAAAAAAATATCATACCTACCCATCCAATAAATGTACCATAGTTTATTGTGTATAGAAATATCTTGCATATAATCCCATCCACCAGGTGCATTAAATTTCATTTATGTTCAGCATTGAAATGGTAACTTGGTCAAGTCTTAGGCTGCCTAGTTGTCCCGAAACGTTAATGAACTTCCCGTAGGACATACACTAAACCTATTCTAGCCTAGTGTAGTTTAGGCCTGAAGGCTCATATTTGCCCTCTAATAGTAATGCAAGCTCCCATTTCCTGCCCACTTGCTTAGGATGGGGGGAATTATACCAGAATAACCTCTGTGCATAATGAATGCAATTTTTGAAAATTTGATTCAGTTTTCTGAAAGCATTCAATCAACACCTGTAGATATTCAACTAAGGCAAGTAAATATTAAAGCCATTTGCATGTTATTTTGTGGAAATTCTATGAATATTTTGTTTCTTATCTCCTAAAGATTGTTAAACCCTGGAAGAATGTAAAGAAACCAGCAGCCAAGAAGCCACATTTCTTTGTATACTTCTTTGGAACAGAGGACCAGTAAGTAATAGTACAGTGTAAAAACCAAAATAATGAAAAATAAAAAGATAAGAAAAACATTTAAAAAAGGACAGTCATTGTAATAATTGCTAGTTTGAAATATAAGGTCAGAGTTTATATATATTATATTACTGTAGTATAAATGGTGAACATAAATTGGTGTAGAAGAATAGTAATTGAATTACTTTATTTTATTATACAATTCGTATCCATAGTAAAAACAAAGTAACAAAAAATCACAACTATTGATACTTGATAATTTGCAATTAAGTTGCTGTCTTCATCTTCTTGAAAGAATTAATTAAAGTAATTCAATTGCTACTTTACTACACCAATTTATGTTCACCATATACAGTACGGTAATATAAAGCATATAAACTCTGACCTTAAATTTCAAGGTCAGAGTCCATGTATGTTTGGTATTTCCATATAAGGTAGTTGATCATTATGATTATGAAATTAAATAAAGTTGTTGCATTTTTCAATTTTATTCATTGTGTTTTCAAAGCCCTCTATATTTACGTTTTTGATAGTGCTTGGGTCAAAGTTGAGAGCTTGAAGGTTTACAAGGATCACAAGGTAGCGTTGTGCAAGGCGGCTAAAGGGGTCAAGTTTCAGAAAGCCATCGAGGCTATTGAAGAGGCTATCAAAGATGAGGAGAATGAAAAAGACAAGGTATGGCAAATATAATTTAACCCTGTTTAATATAAAATAATGCTTATAACTAACTTTGTACCAAACTTACTTTTGATTCATTGCTAGTCAACCCAATCAAGAAACACATTGAAAATATCTACCATTCTTGGGATTTAAGCCTCCATCAGGTTTAAGGCCACCACTGCAGGCTCGGACTGATCATGTTTAACTTTCCGCAAGGAGGGAGAATACGACATAGCTGAGGAACATTTCATTGCGTTGCGTTGCGTCTCCGTTTTGCATTCCGTCCTAGTGGGAACAGAGTAGTAGTAGCCTAGGCCTACATGCGCCTTCTTCGTGAGGTGAATTGGCTGTAGAGGAGGAAAACTGAACCCTCCATCAGTATAAAAAAAAAATTTCCCCATGATTCAAACCCTATACTCGGATAACTGTACAGTTGCTCTAGTTGTTGAACCATTAGGCCTAGCTTGTACAGTCACTAGCATTTTCTATATTGGAAACATTTTCTAAAGTTATTGCATAATATGCAATTAATTTTTTTTCAGGGTATTGCATATTATGCAATAAACTGATAAATCGGTGTTTTATATGGTGGTATAGCATCACTAAGCTTTTGCTATTTAGTGTATTCCATCTGTTTTTTTTTTTTTTGTTTTTTTTCCCTGTGAAATATTTCATCTAGTGTTTTTTTTCCCCCCTGTAAAATCCGTGTTTATTATTTATGGAAATTAATTACATGATTAAATGCTATCCTAAAAAAAATACACAGTAGATATTCAACATGCTAGGCATAAAACAAAGTATTACCTATGTCATCTCATAACATTTAATAATATATTTTAGTAATAATATTATAAAAGAACTTCAATACTGATATTAATAATACAAATGGCAAGTGTAAGATCACGCCTGTTTTTGCTAGCATCATGATAATAATAGTAAATTTTGTCTAAGTAATAATATAATATGATATTGCTTTACATTATTAATATTTTCCAATATTATGAGATTAATACAAATAGAAGTATCATATTGATTGCATTGAAGCAATTATTCAATAGCATTAGTGTGCAATTCAAAAGCAAGATTATATAGACATAAATAAATCATTTTTAATTTACTATTAAATATTAATTTTTGTTTGTATTAATTCTCAATGTAATGATGTATTGTTGCGGGATGGTTAATAGAAATCTGATACTTTATTAACTCAATCTTAGACTCTTAGATTATTAGTTGAATAATGGACCTTTCAGAAGTGTCAATCAAACATTAATCTTAACAACTGACCAATAAGAATGCGGTCAGGTATGCATAGTGTTCTTACAAATGTGTTGTCTCCCAAAAGCATGTATACGCAGTGTGTAAAATTAACATTTGCTCACACTCACCCAATTGGACGAGTGACTCTTCAAATAATACGCTCTTTCAAGTTTATTTTCACTAGCCAAAAATTTTATTGGTGAGCTTTAGTGGTGACGCCAGCAAGGTGCAAGCAGGGCATTTCCCCCTCCCCGGACAGGCCCATACCCAAGTCGTCCAATCCTACGACGAGGTCATCGGCCCAAAAATAATAATAATTTGCCAATCCAAGTAACATTGCACTTAAATTGCCAACCCCTAATAATGTGGTCTAAAACAGCAAAATTTGGGAATTTTATTCCTAGACCCTCACCGATTCTCTTGTTAGCGTCTTTGTTCGGACCCCGTGTCGGGCATGCACCCCGTGTCGGGCATGCACCCCTTCCCACTCCCTTCTTCACTTGAGAATTACTTAGTATATTATGGTGTGTTGTGTGGATGCTGAAAACAGTTACAATTCGAGCAGGACTTTTTTTTTTTTTTTTTTTTGGCAGGATTTTTCACTGGCCCATGTGGGGCTGGAATGTCACTTGCCAAGTTTATATTTCACTTGCATTGGTGAGCAGACAAGTGTTAGTTTTTGCACCCTGTTTACGTACTCTTCACCCTATTATTTTGAGGGACCATAGCAACAATAACCAAGGAGATGTGTCTTAGTAGAAAAGTCCATTTGGTTTTAGTAGTGATATCATTTAATTTCAGTGTGTATTATTACTGCAAAGCAGAAGATGCCAGCCAATCAACTGCAGAAATACTGCAGCTCGGTGAATTTGCTTTGAGTGATTCATCTCTCCAGACGTGCACACTCGTTTTTGCATGAATGTCCATGTTTTGGCTATATCCAATGCAAGGCACTCTAATAATTTTAATGTTTTGGTATTTCTGGATTATGTGCCAACCTCTACAGTGAAAGATTCATTTGAGTATTATACATTTTATGAATATTACTTTCATGTAATTTTAAATATTTAATTGAATTGATGAAGCTTTGTTGTAATGCAAGTAATTTTAATCCAAAAGGTGATTGGATATGATAGAGTCTTGTAGAGTATCATATCAGCTATTTGTTTGATTAGACTTTTAAATGGTCCATGCTTGTTTCAGGCATATCTGGTCAATCAAAAATTGTTTCATCAAACATTTCTCTGTCTCACAGACACAAATCTTATAAAGTATATTATTTTAGTAAGCCTGTCTGTGAGATCTTGTGAGAAAATATTTTAGGACATTAAAACATATTTACTAAAAACATCCCCATTTTAAAGTGGACTAGTCCTATTATGGATACATTACTAACATTATCAAACATCTGTTATAGTATTTTTAGAATAATTTTTATAACATTGAAAGACATAATTGCTTTCATAACAATGGTGGCAGTAGTGGTGGGAATAATCTCCTTGGCAACAAAGAAATTGAAAAAGCTTCTAAGTTTATTGAAACAGCTGTATATTGTTATGGTGTTCAGGTAATAAGTAGGCCTAGTTGGCTAATTGTGTTACTCAACCTACATTTCCAAAACCCTGGGTTCAACAAAATAATGAAATATTTCTTATGGCCAATAATCACATAAATTCAAGTGTAAACGGAAACATTTGACCTTTTCAAAATAAAAGTAAACTTGACCTTGAAGATAAAGGTCATATGATCTAATATGGTTGTCATGGATGAAAAATTGTCTCTCTTTTACACAAGTTCTGTGTAAACTACACAAAAAATATCCTGCATTTATGACTAGTACAGTAAGTATTATTGAGAGCATGGTTTAATGGAATAAAATGTGTTTGATTGAATAAATTACATTGATATACATATATATTATGTGCTCTTCATTCCTACTGTCAATTGAAGCCCAGGAATATAATTGTAGTGGGCAGGGCCACCCAACCTTGAAGTTTTCCACCCAGTCTAAAGCTAATTTCATGGCCCTCCATTCACCTTTATTCACCCCCTTGCTCATCCAATCTACTCTTATTTAGGGTTTACCAATGTTATCACTCACCTACTCTTAGCTTTCTACATCTACAACCCTGAAAGCCATATGATTTGAAGACTATATTTTATTGTTTACATTGTATTAGAGTCATGTGTTAATATATTGCTACTATCAATATTTATAATATCTATTTATGTAATTCTAAGTAATGTTAATTTTTTGATGTGTTTTTACAGACTTCAAAGATGTTAATGGCAAAATTAATGTAATTTTTGTGTAACTATATATTACTTCACATTAACATATGGAATATTTTGGAGCTATATATAATAACAAGTATTATTATTATTATTATTATTATTTGTATTTAATCAATGATCTATGTTTCAGAAGACACTTTCCCCATACCATCCAGACGATGATGAAGATGTCTTCCCAAAAGCTAAGCCTATGAGGGACTACTCAAGGGAGGCCTTCTCGGGTGTGAAAAAGGTAAGCAAGCTATCATTTTACTGCCATCTAAATGCAGGCACTCCCTTCGATTAATGGTCAATACGATTTTATGGTGAACGGCACAAAGTGCACGCAACGGATTGTTTTTAGTGACGATCCAATAAGACTGCCACCAAAAATAAGCAGACGTTTGTGTGTCCTCTCACGCACACAGGGAGCGGAGTAGGATTCGACTTTCAAATGACGGTGAATGCCCGACTTGTTTTCATTAGTGTAATTTTTGTGGAAACTAACCATGTACTGTACAACTAGGATCGTTTTTAGCCAGAGACAGTTGGTATGAGAGTCGTATTTTAGTGCATCTAGACATAAAATAATCTAAAATTGTTTAATATCGGCTTAATAAAAGAGCTTAAATCTATCGTGCCTCCACTATTTCACCCTCCTCGTGTAACCCCGTCGACTCAAACTAGTCGTCAGTACACAGTTCTTACTCCGTTTGTTCGTACCGTTTCCCATTCTCACTCTTTCATCATCCGAACCTCGATTCTCTAGAATTCTCTACCTTCTCCTTGTTTACCCTTATCTTTTAACCTGAAGATTTTCAATACTCATATTAACAAGCTTCCCTTAAACCTCACTAGCCTAATTCTCATTGCTCCCTTACAAGGCCTTGTTACAGGTTTCATCTAATTAAAAAAAAAAAAAAAACTTATATTTAAATGGAAGTAAAGAAGCGAAGCAGGCAGTGATTTTGATTTATGCATTAAGATACAACGATTTATCACCACCTTTGTGCATCACATTACGTAAAATTTTCGTTATAACAGGAAGTAATTGTACGTCTGGAGACAATCGTTTCTTTTTTGATGTCAGGCTCCGTAGGAAAAAGAAAGTTTTGATATGTAATGTAGAACTGATTTTTCTAAGATAGAAAGAAGTTGTTTGATGGAAAAACTAGGAACAGTGAATGAGATAGATTTTTGAATATTTCAAAATTGATAGAAAAAGGGGTGTAACCTCCCATTTTCACACCTTTTGCGCACCCCCCCCCCCAGTTTTTAAATATTCAAATATCTGTATCTCATTCACTGTTTCCCAGTTTTACGTCAAACTACTTTTTTGTGTCTTTGAAAAATAAGTTATGCAACATATCAACATTTTTTTCCTCCTTAGTCTGACTTTAAATGTTGTACATCTGTAAGTTCTTTTTCATAAACAAATGTATTATTTACATGGGATGATGCGCTTAAGGTCACATCTGACAAGTATGAACTCCCAGTTGTCAGATGTAAGCCAAAAGTAGGGCCTATTGTTAATTACAGTTCCCTGATAATGGGTCCTAATCCCCAAAATCTGTAACAGTTGTTGATGATTACCAGAGGCCCTAACACCCACCCCTGTTAGCTCTGCACATGTTCTGGTAGGCTATGTGATAACACATCATTCGTATTGCGGCGTAGAGTGGCTCAGACCCTCCCTATCAAACACTCTAGGCCAGGGGTGGGCATAAAAATCTGTCGGAGGGTGAATTTTCGATTTAACACCTAGGGCTGCACCCAAACTTTGATGTTTCCAGTGACCCGCAAAAAACCTCAGCATTACTTTCACACCACTGAGTTTTAATGTTACTTTTTACATGATCGGTGTCGGACCGTAAAAACAAGGTGTTTTCTAGCCAATGTTGCTTGGCGGGCCACACACATAGGGTTTTTAATTCATTTTCACAGGACGCAAAAAAAAATCGCTGTCGGGCCGCACTTTGCCCACCTGTGCTCTAGGCCAGAGTCTTATAAAGTTACATAAAAAATAACATTTCTTAAGTTTAAAATATATAAATTAATCTTTGATATTTTCATAATGTTTATATGAGAATTAGTTAATTTCTATTTTTTTTTTTTGTATTTCATTAACATTATATTATAAACATATCACCAGAAGTTTTTTGAAGGTGGGAATTCCATATTCCAAATCTGAAATCATCTGAGAATATCGTCCGAGTGTTTGTTTTTTTGTGATACTCAATCACAGTCCAGGAAAAGCCCCATGTGACCCCAATTTTTTTTCCGATATGTCACGCTTTCCTATTCAAGATTTTTGCAGGCGCCCTCATATGGATGTGCTCCTAGCTACCCCTGTGGTTACCACCTTCATGTGACAAATTTGCCTGACATGCCCATATTTGGGCATGATGATATCTATATCATCAAAACATGGGCATATTACATTAATTTATCACATAGAGTTTGATAGTGTAGGCCTAGACAGAGCTTTAAGTCTTTTATGTAGTCTTTGCTAGCAGCTATCTCAAGCCATGCATCTCAAAGATGAGGTAATTAGAGTTCAGTAATGTGCTATTCCCAAGAAAGCAATGGTATTGGTCAATTTTTGATCTAGGAAAAAGAAATGCTTAATTAACTTCAGTCTCACATTATCAAATTTTCTTTGACAAAAAAAACTGTAGTTATAATGTGCCTATATATGGTGGTAGTGTGATGTCATCATGACCATATTTAGGTATGTCACATGTTTTTGTCTAATAAAATTTGATAGTCTGGTCAAGACTTATACATACTCACCACCTTCATTTCATTTCTTTTTATTTATTACATCAAGTAACAAATGACACAATAAGATTGTATTATGTTTTTTCCACAGACAAGGGTAACACAACTTTGGTAATGCCAAATTAATAATCATCTATATTTATTAAATCTATACAGTAGAACCCCTCTTTTGGGACACCCTTTTAAGGGGACACCCCTGTTTAGGGATACTTTTTGACCACAAAATGAAGGAAAATTATGACACAGTGTCCAACCCATATTCAGGGGACATCCTATTAAGGGGACACTTTTTTGGGCTCCGAAGGTTTCTCCTTAATAGGGGTTCTGTTTTATTCAAAAATTTAATTTCAGTATGTCATCATTGATGTAGACATAAAAAATTTAACCAAGAAAACTATACTTTAAAAATAGTAATTAAGAGTCATTAATTAGTTTCTTTAAAAAAAAATAAAGTTATCATCCAGTACCCATATTAACATAAATTTAATTTCTTACGTTTCAGTTATCACTTAGCAGTGGTAGTGAAGACAAATCAAAGATGAAACGAAAGTTTACTCAGCCTTCAGATGAAGATGATGATTTGGAGGAGGAGGTCAGAAGAAAAAGCCCAAAGAAGAGAGGACGACAATTCCGTGACGCAGATGGTCCCATCAAGTCACCCAAAAAAGAAACACCTAAGAAGAAGGTATGTTAAAGCTGTGTAGAAAAATTAATCTGGAAAACATCCTTTAAATATTGATTAAAAATTGTTAATGTTATCCTATATAATTAATTATTAACTTGCGTAAAAGTTTTCTTTAATTTATAGAAGTTTTTACTACACAAATCCTTTAAAATAGATTACCAAAAAAATTGAGGGTCCATTTTACAGTGATATATATTTAATTTTTATTTTTGGAATTTCTTTGTTGCATCCAACAGTGTAAAATACCTATAACCGGGTGGAAATAAAATATAAAATACAACATATTATTAAAAATGTAAAACGATTATATAAAAGCATTTTAATGAATCTGTTAATTTGTGTTTTAATGTCAATAGGTTGTTTTCCCATTTGGAAATTTTCATATAAATTTAATCGATGTAATTGTTAAGAAAATGATAATAATTTTAAAAGAAAAGAGATGTTATTGTGTCTTCTTTATTAGCTCTTTATTTAAGTTCTTTGATTTTAAAATGATTTATTATAATTTTGCTGTCATTGTCAATATTTAAAAGACATCTTGTTGTCTTACTATCTCACCTTCTATACCTTAGAGACAAACCTAATTAGGTTTTTAACATTTGCATTACTATTTTGTATTTTCTATTTTATGAAGTTACCTTCTTCCATAGTTGAAAGACATCCCTAGAATATGCTAATATTTCAAATATAAATAAGTCATATAAATAATAAAATATGTAATTAATTTACTGTATGAATTGAATATTTTATATTATTATGCATTTAACTTTGCATTTATTTTGTATTTTTTTGTACATGAAATTTATCTTCCATAGTACAAAGACATCCATACAATATACTTTCATTTCAAATATAAATAAGTCATATACACAATAAAATAAGTAATTAAATTATGGATTGAATATTTTATTTTGTTATGTATTTACAAGCATACATTATTTAAAATCAAGGTTTAAAATACACATCTTCTTACTGTCAAAGTATGACATTTGTAAAAACTTTTTTTTTATACCATGTTTTATAATATTTATATTTATCATGTTATATATATCATATATAATGTATGTATATAGTATACACCATATATATATATTATTATGTTATTTAAAGTATCTATTTTAGTCTATATATTTTATATTTAGGAGCCTGTCCTTGCCAAATATTATGAAATAATTAGATAGTAGACTGGTGATATAAGTGGTGGTATTTGTTTTCTTCCCCTTCAGCCATTTGAGCAAGGTATAACACCAGCAAAAAGGAAACCCAAAATGGATATGGACAGAATGTACAAGATTTTATTTGAGCACAAACAAGTCAACACAAATAACGCTGACGGACAGCATCCAGCTATCGTACCCTCGTCTAAAAGGTAAGAGATTATGTACAACAACATTAGGTATCAGTCCCAGAGATGTTTAAACCAGAAATATCCTATGCAAATAATATTCAATTAACATATTTTTTATGGAGTCCATTTTTATGATATGTGGAATGTTCCAAATTATTGGCCCTGTGGTTTACCATCGTATCACACTGATCTTAACTGGTTTTATCTGGTTTAAACTGAAAATGACTTAAATGTTAATTAAAAATAAATCAAATTATTATGCAATCACTTTAATGATAAATTATGTGATGTCAAAATTCTTAATGTCAATGACCATTTTTGACTTTAAACACCCCTGAAAATTAATAGAGTCTCACCTTGGTCATGGAAAATACTTTGAAATATCCAGTAAAACATTCTGGCTAAAAGAGTGGACATGTGCAGTTTAATAATGGCCTCATTCGAGTGGTTCGTTCTGTTGACAACAATTTTTCGTTTGAGTATTGTTTTTATTCAGCTAAATTAACTGCATTGACAACGGAAGTAAACGTAAACCAGAATTTGTTAATTTGCAATAAGTTATCCACATGATCAAAGCAAACATGGTTTATTGGTCATTTTAGCAACAACATTGGCAATAATATAATTTAGATTAAATTTCAGAAAATATTAATTATATTTACCTGCATAAAGTAAATAAATATTTGTAGGCTAACAGAAAACTGCATGAAAACATTTTTATATGAAAAACCCATACTGCCATAAGCCGATACAACCTTGCTTACGCTAACAGGTATCGCGGTAACCAAGCAGCGATTTTGTTTTGTCCAGTATTTACGTGTTTCCTGTTTGTCTAGTCGTCTTCGTTAAGTAGAATTTTACCACTGCGCAGGCAGGCGTGGTTTAACGAAGAATGACTAATCGCATACGGCCATTGATTTCAGTATTACAATGCGGTTTAATTTCCAGTTATAATTATATTTTTTGTTTACAATTAATATCATTTGATTCTAACTTTAGGATTGGTTTTGTTGGACTTGGTATAATGGGCAAAGGGATGGCAATGAACCTGGTCAAGTCAGGTCACAAGGTCACAGTATGGAACAGAACGTCAGAAAAGGTAAGCTAAGTTATTTTTCCCCGTGACCTATTTTTAATGGCCAGTTGACATTTTTTGCTAAGCCTCGCCCCTTGGATATATTTTTGCTAAGGCCCCACAAACCGACCGTGTAAAAACGTATGCAACACATGCGTTTGTGGGACAACGTGTGTCTTTGTAGGGTACGCGCGTATTTCTGGACTTGTTCTGATTGGTCAGTTGTTAAAGGTTGATACTCTGGAAACGTTGATAATGACAGCTCTCTAGAGATTGATGCATAAGAATATAGAACTCTCAAAATTTTCGGGATTATTACAGACAAATTGATCTTAATATTTGCATTCACTTCACTCATTCTGAAGAGTCGGAAGTGATAAAATGCTTGGACAGTTTTCCAACTTCTTCATTTTTATTGTCTTGAGTTCCCACAAACATCGTGTTGATTATCATGGAACTATAAGCAGGTGTAGTGGCGTACTTCACTGCCGGTTGTCGGGTTTAATTTATTTTTAATTTAATTTTAATTTTTTCTTTTTCTTTCTTTTCTCCTTCCCTTCTTCTTTTCCCCCTTTTCTCTTCCTTTTCCTTTCCTTTTATTTTTCTCTTTTGTTTCTCTTTTTTTCCCTTTTTCCCAAATTTCTCTTGTTTTCTTTTTTCTTCCTCTTTCCTTTTTTTTTTCTCGTTATTATTTTTTTCTTTGTTTTTTTTTTAATTTGGAAAAGAAAATGGAAATAACTTTAGAGCTTAAATATAAATGTGTCAACTTTTCATTATACAAAAATTCTCTATTGCCCTTGACAATGAGTTTATAAATTGAATGCACACTTTACAGCAGATGATAAACCCGTAGTGATTAAATACAAGGGCAGTTTCGCAACCTTAAAATTTTACTACAAGTATGTTTACAAGGATAATATGTGTATCTGGAAAAATTATGTAATTTCAAAATGCTTCTTAGGCTCAGGTGCCATTGTTCTCTTTTCTTAAACACCTCTAAAAATTCATACAATCCCAGTGTCCATTAGAATTACCATGCTGTTATTCTCATTCTTAACTGTGTAATGAGGAGCTGATGGGAGGGGGGCCAATGAAGGGGAAGTGGGAGTGGGAGTACTTGATGATTAAGTTTGGGGGGCACCTTAGGTCGCAAAATGGGGTGATATGACATGATTTTTAAATAGTTGAGAATGATTTTTTTTGCTTCAAACATTTCCAATGGCCGCAAACTGAGAGCGCCAGCTTATTTTTGAGTGTGTGTCCCTTGCGCACCTCTAGATAAACCACTGAACTAAAGTGCAGTGAAATCTAAACACATCATGATTAAGAGTTTTCTGATAGGATTTTTTTATAAGTTTATTATATGTATTGCTTCATAACCTGAACAATTTGTCAATAAAAATTTACTGTACCTCTTGATATATTTATGGGTTTTATGTCGTCATTTTTATTGATGTTTATGAAGTCTGCACTTCAAATGGGTAATAAAATTGGAATATGAATTGAGTACTATTCTACAGTACTATTATAGTAGTTATACTTATTTTTAATATCAAGCATGAATATATAAGAACATTGAGCAAAAATAAAATGTCTTCAATCAACTGGGTCTTAATGTTTTTTAATAATTCAGGAAATGTGTTTAATAATGCATAATGTTACGTCATACATTTTCCTTTGATAAGTTGTCATTGGTTCTGCCCTAAAGTTGAAACCCTTCCAACACAGAAGAGGCGACTTTACTATAGTTTTAAAATGATAAAACACAGGTAATTTTGAAGATTTTATGTGAACAGAGTAATTTGCAATACCATATAACCTCGAATTGAAGCCCAATATGCTTAAACTCGAGAAGACCATCTCAAATTGAAGCCACCCTATTTAGTTGGCAAAATTAGCCTCAAATAGAAGTAATCCCAATCATCCAACACCTTGGGAACTGGAATTTACTATTCACCTCAAACCATGTTGTATTTGTAGGCTGTCTTTGTATAATTAATAAGTTTACGTACTCTGGGTTAGGTAGGCTGGCAATGTAGGCTAATATGTTTAGGGCCTGGTAAGTACCTTATTACATAACAATGTCAGCCTTTTGTTAATTATCGATCATCTCAATTGGTCATTGTTGTCCTCTGCTTTTGTCTAGGCCTTTATTTCTGCTGGGTAAACATGGGCTTACCCCAGCTTTGCTTTCCTTTGTAGTTGCTGTCTGCTGAATCATAGTAATTTAATCCAAGTGCCTAGCATAGCATTTATGGTGGCAATGTGTAGACTAGAATGCTATAGTGGTGTAGGGTGTATCTTAGCATCCATGACACAGTCTGGTTTAACATCATTTTATTTATATTTATTTTTTTTTACCATATTCATAGAGGGTAACCCTTCAAGCTTATCTAAGAAATGGTCGGCTAATGTTTAGGGGCCCTCTTAATTAAATTAAATAGCATGAGGTTTTCTTAGAGGTGGCAATCAGGACAAAGTTCTCCCTTTCCCCCCCCCCCCCCACTTAGGCGGGTAGATGCTGGCTTGACAAACAAAATATTAACATTTGTAGTGGTTGTGGTAAATGAGTATACCATTACTGTAGCATGTAGTAGACTATAGCCTCTGCTTGTACTGCCCTCCTGAAAAAGCTTGTTCTATCCTTCTCCACTGCC